AACTCTATGAAAGAGATCTTTGTACATGAGTTACCCACATTTTGGGTTATTGCCCCTAAAAGAGAAGTAATTAGTGAGCCAATTAGTCCTAGCCTTTTTTGAGCAAAAATCAAAATAAATTGGATTTTTAAAATTTCTCATTAAATAAACACAATCTTTTCCATTTAGATTTAGCTTTAATTAGGTAAGAGTTGGTATTAGATAAGAATAGTGGTTTTCTGGGGCACCTGGGTGGCTCAGTCGGTTAAGCAGCTGCCTTTGGCTTGGGTCATGATCCTGGGGTCTTGGGATCGAGCCCCACGTCTGGCTCCCTGCTCGGCGGAAAGCCTGCTTCTCCCTCTCCCTCTGCCTGCCACTCTGCCTACTTGTGTTCTCTCTCTGTCAAATAAATAAATAAAATCTTAAAAAAAAAAAAATAGTGGTTTTCTTTTTTTTTTTTTTAAGATTTTATTTATTTATATTCATGAGAGACAGAAAGAGGCAGAGGGAGAAGCAGGCTCAGGGACCCCCCGCCCCCGACGCAGGGCTCGATTCCAGGACCCCGGGATCATGACCTGAGCCAAAGGCAGTTGCTTAACAACTGAAGCCACCCAGGCGCCCAGAACAGTGGTTTTCAACTGGATATTGGTGAGATAGATTTGTGGTGGAGTTTGCTGTCCATGGAAATTTGGCAATGTGTAAAGAGGTTTGTTATAGCTGGGAGAAGGAATGGTACAACATTATTGAGTAGAGGCCAGCGTTGCTGCTGCTAAACATGCTACAGGGCACAAGACGGTCCCCACAACAAAGAATTATCCAGCCAACAAAGAATGTCAGTAGTGCTGAGTTTGAGAAACCTTGGATTTGCAGGTTTTGCTGCTGGCAGGAAACATTCTTGTAGTCTTTAGGGCTACTGTTTATGGGTTCTCTCTGCTCTAGGAGGGGAATGTTTTAGCATCAAATGTCAATAGAGGCTGATTCTGCCAAATGTAATACAGACCTAGTAAATAGCTCAACACGTATCTTCCCATTTTGAGAAACACCATGTGTTTGTTTATACAAAATGCTTATAAAATTATTTTTGTGTATTGGGTATTCTTGAAAATGACTCATTCAGTGTCAGACCTGGTTATTGTTGAGATTTGGCCATACTGTGTGTATTGAAGATCTGCATTTAGCTGCATGAGAAAGAAAATCAGGCAGTAGCTGACTTAACAAATAGAGGCTGATTTTTCTCCTACAGTGACAGTTCTGGAGATAGGAGTCCAGAGTTGTTACTATGGCTCCCTGATGTCCTCAGTGACCCGGTTTCCTCTGTTTCTGCTTAGCCTTCCTTAGAATGTGCTTTTTACCTTGTTGGCACGGGATATCTCCTCCCCATTCCCACCCCTCACCCGCAACATCAAAACTTGTACCCAGGGCAGGCAGAAGTGAGAAGGACAGAGATCACCAGAGCCAGCCCTTTTGATAAAAGCTTTCCTGAAACCCCATGCAGTGATTTCTGCTTCTTCTCATTGGCTTGAACTGTGTCCCATGACTGTTCTTACTTGTACGGGAGGCTGGGAAATACAGGATTTTAGTTGAGTTAACTGTAAGTAAGAAAGTAATAATTAGAAACTTTGAGTAAGGAAGAATGGATATTAGGATAGGCAACTAGTACGTACCTCTGGAGCCGCTTTTTAAAGTATTGGGGATTCTTTGTTGAGCTTGACTCTAGTCTGGCACGGTGAAGGAAAAAAAGGTATTGGGGGTTCTGGTCTTCCTAAATGCACTGAAATGAAAGAAACATAAAGAGGAACAAACATTAGAAATTTGAGCGAATGGACTCTTACAGAGTCATGTGGGTTTTTTTTTAATTAATTGAGAAAATAGAATGTATTTGTTATGAATGTATTTCTTAATCCCAAGAACTTGGCTGTTTTATGGTGTTTTGGAAATTAAAATCTCTTCCCTATCCCTATACTTGGGATGCTCCACCCAATTTAATTTTTTTTTTTTTTTGCAACATCAGTAATGACTTGTTATAGTGAACACAAATAAGTGTATTTCTGTAGGCTAAAAATTGGAATCAGCAACTGAGAGATGGACTTAAGTGTGGAAAATAAGTGTATATGCATAACACAAGCATTGAAGAAGGGCTAATGTAATAGAACGACCCTCTTTGCCCATTAAAAAAATTGTTTTTATTGGACTTTTTTATATAATCTGGATAGCAGTCCCTTATCAGATACTATTTTCTCCCATTCTGTGGGTTGCAACAACTTTTCAATGTGATTTTAAAACTATATAGCATTAGGACTGATATTATACTAGTATTTATTAGAATTTTAGCTAGTTTATTTTAAAGTAATATATGAATATATGGTTTGAAATCCCAGTAGCACAGAAAGTGTCCAATAAAAAGGAGTTAAAAGGACAGGTTACTTTGGAAAGAAGGAGAGAGGGGTGGGGTAGGGAAAGCCTTTAGCTATATCTGATGGGTACAGCTTTATAATTTGGTATCTGTATACAAGACAAAGTGATCACCACCACAAGGCTAGTTACCATCCACCACCATGCAGTTGGCCTCCTTCACCCATTTCATCCACCCCTGAACCACTAGTTTGTTGTCTGTATCTATGAGGTTTGATTTTGTTTGTTGTTTTGGATTTCACATATGTGCGAATCATGCAGTGTTTGTCTTTCTCCTGTGATTTATTTCATTTAGCATACTTCAGGGTCCACCCATGCTGTAATAAATGACAAGGTTTCATTCTTGTTTATGGCTGAGTAGTACTCCGTTGTTTTAATTATGTGTGAGAGTATGTGTGTGTGTGTATCACATCTTCTTTATCCTTTCATCTATAAATGGACACTTAAGTTGTTTCCACATCTTGGCTATTATAAATAATGCTGCAGTGATGTGTTTTATTCCTTTCCTAAAAAAAAAGAGATTTGGGGGCACCTGGGTGGCTCAGTTGGTTGAGCATCTGACTCTTGATTTCTGCTCAGGTCATGATCTCAGGGTCATGGGATTGAGCCCCATGAAGGCTCCATGCTTAACGTGGAGTCTGCTTGAGATTCTCTCTCTCTCTCCCACTTCCCTCACTTGAGCGTGCACTCTCTCTTTCTAAAATAAATAAATTAAAAAAAATAAAAGATTTGAAGTGGGTATTCAGAAGTGGCAGTAAGTGTTTAATCTAACTGATGGTAACATGAGTGATATTATCTGTATTTTTCTGTTAGAAATATTTCATAATGAAAACAAATTTTTAGTTACATAAATCTGTACCCTTCCCTAGATGTTCAGCCTTCCCCCCAAAAGTTACTAATTTCTCATCTCCTTCTAGAATTATTCACTGTATTCTAGGCATATTTATGTTTGAGTGGATTGTTCCCTCCCCACCATGAGTGCATATTCTTTTGTACTTTTTTTCACTATGCAGTGAAATTGTTCATTTCATTATTTCTTTGAAATTTTTTCATATCACTGTATGTAGCACTTGTCCTTTTTCCTTGTTCCCATGTATCCTACTGCATTGGTGCCTTATAATTTATCTCACCAGTTCACTCAGATTCTTGCTAATTTTTCACTCTTATGTACGTGAACATCCTTGTGCATAAATCTTTGCACACAGGTGTGTGGCTACATGATATAAATTCCTTGAGGATAAAATTGGTGGGTCAGATTTCTGATCTTACCAAATTGTTCTCAAACATTGTATCTGTTTATATTCTGCAGTAATATATGAGAATACTATCATCTGCATAGTGTTAGTAGAATTTTTATTCTTGCCAATTTGTTTTCTCTACACTTGATACAGAAAAGCTATTAACAGAAAACTGTTTTAGTATTCTTTTATTTTGTAATTAAAAAAAAAAATTTCCTAACTTGAAAAAAATAAAAAAATAAAAAATAAATTTATTTGAGAGAGAATGTGTGCTAGTGAGAGAGAGCGCACGCCAGAGAGAGAGAGCACAGGCGGGGGGAGGGGCAGAGGGAGAAGCAGGCTCCCCACTGAGCAGGGAACCCAATGTGGGACTGGATCCCAGGACTTTGGGATCATGACCTGAGCTGAAGGCAGACGCTTAACCAACTGAGCCACCCAGGTGTCCTTGTTTTAGTAGTAGTTTAAATTAAAGAAGCATCTGTGTTTTTAAGTTAAATTGACCTCTAATTTTCTATTTTTGTATGTTTCATTCAGTTTTAGTATCAAAGTTATGCAGCCTCCTATATTAATTTGGACAGAAATATTACCTTTCAGTTTCAAATACTTTTCCATGAAAGCATATGATAACAAATGTAATGAGCTGAAAAGATGAAAAAGTGTCAACTATTCCCACACATTAATTATATTAAGGTTTTAAATGTTAAGTAATAAATTTTATATGTAAAATTAAACACATTCAGGTCTAGGCTTAGTGTGGCCATATCCTCATGGAATTTCTTCTACGGTGGAACACAGAGAGCTGTAAGGGTCCTAAAATGAGCTTCTGGCCTACTGGTGGTTGCTAAGCATTTATGGTTCTAGAAATAAAATTTGAGGATATTTCTGGACTCAAAGTAACAGCAATATGGGAAACTCCAAAATAGAGGTAGATGTTATTGAGAGTTTTGTGAGAAATCTGAATATGATGTGGTTAGCCTTAGATACCTCCATTGCATTAGTTCTGTGTTACATAAAATGTTTAAGGTTGCTTATAGGGGTTGAATATTGCATGGCAACATATAAATACATCCAGAGCAGAGACTTTGTGCCTGAAGGGCCTTGTTCAGTCCTGAGGTCTGCCACTTACTAGCATTATGACCTTTGGCAGATTGTTTAATCTCTCAAAGCCTATCATCCCTCACATACAAAACAGGGATGATAGTTTTTCCTATTGGTGTTGTAAGAATTGAATGAGATAATGTAGACAATGAGCTTTGTGTTGTACTTGGCATTTCATCAGTGCTTGATGTTACTTTATACTGGCTGGGAAAGTATCTGTTTTGCTATATACAATTTAAGAGGAATATTAAAATATATTTTTGTTATTTTAAGGAAATTCGCAATGAGTCCCATGACTATCCTCATAGAGTGGCCAAGTTTCCAGAAAACAGAAATCGAAACAGATACAGAGATGTAAGCCCATGTAAGTACTTCGGGTTTGTGTGCATGTGTGTGTTTGTTGGTTTGTTTTAGGAGGCAGAATACAATGAAAAAGAAGGTTGGGGATCAGGGTTGATAAGTACAGTGGTTTTCTTCATATTAACATAATACACGTTCTTTAAAGAAAAATTTCAAGGCACAGAATAGTTGAAGGAAGGAAAATTACTCATAATTATTGCATCCTTCAAACACAGCCACTGTTATTTTGGTGTATTTCCTACTAACTTTTTTTCTTATGCATAATTTTCTTTCTTTAAAATTAATTGTAATCATATTTATGTGTTATATGTATTCGTATATGTATATTTTCATATTATTCCATAACCTTTTAAATATTAAAATATCTATCAGTGTAATTTGCTTTTTTTCCTCAAATTATAAAAGTAGTACATACTCACTGTAGAGAACTTTTAAAACAGAAATGTGTAAAGGAAAAAACCCTATGATTTAAAAACAGAAAACTTCGGGGTTATATTCTTTTTGTATTTTTCCTGAATAAACATACACACATTATTTATTTTTATTTTTTTATTTATTTGAGAGCGAGCATGAGTGCACATACAAGCAGGGGGATTGTAGGGAGAGGGAGACAGTCTCAAGCAAACTCCATGCTGAGTGCCGAGCCTGACCGTGGGGCTTGATCTCTGGATCCTAAGATCATGACCTGTGATGAAACCAAGAGTCAACCAAGAGTCGGATGCTTAACTGACTGAGCCCCCAGACGCGCCTATACACATTCTTTTAAATTTAAAATTAGAATCCTTCACATGTTAATTGTAGCTCTTTTCCCACCTCACAATACATTGTAAGCATTTTCCTATCATAAGTCTTTTAGTGGCTTTGATAGAGGCTTTGGATATGCCATTCTTTTATGTAACAGATCCTTGTGGTTGAACATTTGGATACTGATGTACACACTCATTTATATACACAACTCTGTGAATAGTTGTCATACCACTGTTTTAAAAATGTGTTTATCCTGAGGTGATTTTATTTTGTGTTCTGATTGATACCATTTGGTCAAATACTAAATTAAGCTGCCTTACTATTCTACGGTGTTATCCCATATTTGATTTTAGTGGGCACAGGTATTTTCTTTAGGGCTGCTTGTTAGTAGGGATGTTAAAAAAAATCTGAATCTATCACATTTTGGTTCCTGCTTGTTTGTGGTTCTTTCCTCTAGTTGACAAGGGTATGGTGCTGGTGTGCTGAGGCCTCCTGTGTAGGCTGAATAATCTCACTCTACCCAGGGCTAAGATTGTATACCCTTATATACGTTGTACTCCTTCTTAGGAGGGTATGAATATGCCACTGAAAATCTAACTACTGGGGAAAAGGTCCATACTTTCTTTCGTAAAGGAACAGAACATTCTTCTTTCTGTTGACCAAGTACATTTCCATGAAAAGTGTATTGGCTGATTTTGGACAAATCAAATGAGAAGTAATCTCTTAAAATATTTCATGTTTATTATAAATTACTTATTAAATATTATGTTTCTCTTACATGTTTTCCTTACCAATTAATAGTGTTTGTAAAGATAAGTCTACAGCAGAGAGTGGTTTTCTGTTCTTCACTTGCAGACACTTGAAGATATGACAAACTTCCAATGAAACCTGACTCACCATGGCAACAATTCTGGTGTTGGTGTGTGTGCAGGGAATGGGGGTATGGGCAGTGGTTCTAACATTTAGGTGCCCCTTCACCCTCTCCAAATTTCTGTTGAGTATCATTGAGCTAGAACACTAATCTTTAGTGTTTAGCATGAGTTTTGAAGACGGTGTGTCCCAGTTGTACACCTTGCTTTGTTGCCTCTAATTTAAAAAAAAAAAACAAAAACCAAAAACCCAGGCTTCTTATTTTGATAATTGTAGCTATGTATGCAGTTGTGAGAAATAGCACTCAGAGATTCTGCATACCCTTCCCCTGGTTTTCCCCAGTGGTAACATCTTGGCATAATTGCAACCAGGAAATGGACATGGTTATGATCCATCCAGATCTCCCCAGTGTTACTTGCACTAATTTGTGGCTCTGTTCAGTTCTGTTCAGCTCTGTTACATGGTAGAGTATGGGGTCTCCACCCCAGTCTGGGTACAGACCAATGGAACAGCTCCACCTTAAGATCCCTCCCTGCCTTACAGTTCTGGATCTCTTCAACTCTCAACTTGAAATCTTAAATGCTGCTACCTTGAGGGCTACTTTCTGTCTTCCCAGCCCTTTGACTTCATCAGGAGCTTTAGTTTGTTGACTTTTTCATTTATTATAGTACATTACTTCCTTCCCCACCCTACTTACTACTTAATGACTTTCTTGCTGTTCTAATATGTTAGAAAGATAATCTCTGGCTCTTTAATTCTACCTACCCTGTGAAACCTAGCGTCAGATAGTCGCTTAGCTTCTGTGACCTTTGGGCTCATGTGTGTGCTTGGGTGGGCTCGGGCACTGGCTGGGCCTGGGGTGCCCCGCTGTCCTCCTCCGTGCCCTTCATCACTCCCACTGCCCCTCTGCTCTGGCTTGTCCCAAAGGAAACCGGCTCTTTCACACACTCCCACGCCCACTGCTCACAGAATGTGATCTGCCTTCAATTCTGCAGAGAAACATTTTAAAAATCCAGAAATAACTCTTCAACTTCATGTTCTACCACCCAGAAACTTATTTCTGTCTTCACTCACCTTTTCCTGAAGCCCCAGGAAATAAAGCCTTCCCCCTCCTGTCCTAGGTTTGTATCCTGATGCTTCATTCCTCCTCAGGGACCTCATTCGCTGTCATAACCACTCTTACTCCTGTCTTCAACCTCTTTCCAGTAGCTCCTTTCCCTTATTATGTAAATGTGCTTCAGCCTCTTCTCATCTCAACCATCTTATCACATCTCAGCTTCACTTCTCTGTTACTTGTGTGGACATGAGCACGTGCACACGTTTGCACAGAGTCTCAAAAAAAAGACACCGTATTATTTGTCTCTCCATCCTCATCACCTGTGCATTCTTCAGCCCATGGTTCTGCCCTAGCCTCCCCACTGAAACTTTTATTATCAAGTACTGTTTTCAAGCTTTCTAGTTTTCACATGCAGTGAGGAACTTTCCATTGGTTTCTTTTCTTATCCCTCTGACTTTTGACATTGTTGACTCTTCCTTCCTTCCCTAACACCATATTTTTTCTATTTTGCTATTATGCCTCTGGCTGGTCAGGCATTTTCAGAGCTTTTCTTCCTCAGTTGACTGTCTTCTTCAGGGTTCTGTCTCCCCCTCCTTCTCACTCTGACACTTCTTTGAATGATCTCATCTTCTGTGGGTTTGGTTACCGTGTGCTTGTCACCCTGAATCTCGTCTGTAGCCTAGGTCTCTCTTAGCTATAGACCCATTTATGCAAGGCACTCATCTCTGTGTGGATGTCCTGTAAATGCCTCAGTCTCAGTATGTCTAGATACTGATCTAGCATTCCTCCCCACACAGTCCATCGGTCCCAACCCTGAGACCTGCGTTTTCTGCTGTATTCCCCATATTAATAAATGGTACTACTATTGATACATATGCTGCAGCTAGAAACTCAGACTCCTCTCCCATTCAGCTCCCATATCTACTTGATAACTAAATAATTACAATTCCATTTCCACAATTTTTTTTTTTAAATTTTTTTTGGGAGAGAGAGAGAGAGCATGCATGTGCACTGGGGGGGGCGGGGAGGGTGGCGGGGAGCAGAGGGAGAGGGGGAGAGAGAGAATCCCAAGCAGGCTCCATGCCTGGCATGGAGCCCAGTGCAGGGCTCAATCTCACAACCCTAAAATCATGACCTGAGCCAAAATCAAGAGTCAAATGCTCAAGCGACTGAGCCACCCAGGCGCCCCCACAATGTGTTTTAAATCTCTTCTTCACTGTTTGTACTGGCTTGGTTCCAGCCCTTGCTCTTCCTTTTCTGGATTAATACAGTAAACTCTTGTCTCCTTGTCTCTGTTCTGTTCCCGTTTCAGTCCATTCTCCATGCAGTATCCAGGATAATCTTTGTAAAATGCGTGTCTGTTTTCCAGTCTCCAGTAGCATTCCACAAGTTTTATGAGAAATTAGTTTTGTAGCATTATCATACAAGACCTTTTGGAGACCGACCCTTCACATACCTCCAGATTTTTTCTAGCCATTTTCTCACAAATTTATTATTATTAAAGATTTTATTTATTTGTCAGAGAGAGAGAGCACAAGCAGGGGAAGGGGCAGGCAGAGGGAGCAGCAGGCTTCCCGCTGAGCAGGAAGCCCGATGCGGGACTCGATCCCAGGACCCTGGGATCATGACCTGAGCTGAAGGCAGACGCTTAACCGACTGAGCCACCCAGGTGCCCTACTCAAAATTATTGATTTTGGTAAAACTGAAACACTTAAAGTTCTCCCAGTGTGACCAGTTTCTAAGGTTTTTTTTTTTTAGATTTTATTTTTAAGTAATCTCTACACCCAGTATGGGGCTTGATTGAACTCACAACCCGGAGATCAAGCATCACATGCTCTACCGACTGAGGCAGCCAGGCACCCCCCAGTGTGACCAGTTACTAATAACTCAGTGTCTGAATATATCATTCCCTTTTTGGAACATCTTCCTCTTTCTGACCCACATTAGTCAAAATCCTCTTCTTCCAAATATCTTCCCCACTACTTCCCCTTGGGTGTTATTCTCACACAGTGGAGGAGGTCATGGAGGTGATGACTCTCACTAAATATAGACGGGCCCAGGAATGTGTATTTTAAAACACTCCCTGGATTATGCAGTTATACCTTTCCTTATTGATAGTCATTATAAAATTTAAAAATGTTTTTCCATACAAAATACTTTACAGTTGGTTTGGTTCAGAAAACATGCATTAAAAACCAGCTACACAGCTGACTGACACTAGGCTATGCACTGAGAATACCACGAATATATGTACCCTGCCCTCTGATAATTCACAGTATAGTGAGGGAGATACAGACCTGTTGTGCTGTATGTATCATGGGATAGGACCA